GTGTGTGTGTGTGTGTGTGTGTGTGTGTGTGTGTGTGTGTGTGTGTGTGTGTGTGTGGCGGGCTTTGAAAGACACAAATGTTTCAAGAGCAAATAAGAACTGAGTGAGTTAATTCTTATCAAAGTCTGTTGGAGTGCAACTAATCAACTGGAGGGGGGTGGGAGTAGATCGAAAAGCAAGTCGCCTCCAATTCATTTTGTCTATTCAGATGAGAAAATATGTAGTTTTCAATTAAGTTAATCACTATTATTTGTTCCACTCCTGCAGCAGATAAATTGAAGTGATTTCGCCGTGACTTGAAATTCACAGAGCTTCTCTGACGGGTCACAGAAGTCAGTTTGTGCTCACACTTTTGGATGCGAGGGGCACAGATGCTTCTTTGGCAGAATACACAACGAGAGCGCGTCGTAATTTCAAGAAGTATCTTATTTGTTTTCTTACACTCATCTTGGGAAAATGCCTCACAAATAACAATAATAGGCACTGAAACAATCATTAAAAATGACTCGTTTCTCCAAAGATCGTGTCATTACAGGACTTAACCTACTGGATGTTACGGCTCCACGTTTAAAGTGTTGAACACAATCACTGATTAAGTTTCAGTTTTACATTTTATTATGCAACTGAATGTTTGTGGTGTAATACAAACATTAAACACTGTTGGAAGCTTACTATTGTACAGTTTGCTTAAATTTAATTCCATTTTCTGCCTTTCCCAAGAGGGTTCACTTTGTTTGTTTAAAGGGTTAGTTWAGATCTTWTGAAGTGGGGTTCTGTKGAGAGTATGTGAACAATTAGCATCTTACCTGTWGTAGATGGWCATTWGAAAAGGGMTGTCAAAACTATTTTCACTGAGGCTCACGTAAGCATTACGGTTACTGTCAAAGGGTTATTTGTATCCCAACATTTTTGGGTTTAACTTCGACAAAACACAGAACGTCACGTTCCTCGTCTCAAATCTAGAATGTGCTAACAAACAATAACTGAGCTCCATGTGTTTTTTCCTGCACAAAAACATTGTTTTTACAGCTTTGCACAACTGACTAAATGTGAAATAAATAATACAGAAATACTATCAAAAGTAAAAATAAGAGTTTTTCTCACTGTTGAATTGTGGTGGGTGGCTGGAATCTAAAATTCTGAACTCTCCCACATTCTGAAGAGGTGTTCCAGTTTAAATTTATGACTTGTAAGTGGGAAATTCCCACTAGCTATGTTTCCATTGAACAAGAAAATGCACAAATTAGAATTTCGAAAATAAATTTGCTCAATGGAAACATGTCAATTTCGAAAAAAAAAAACTATTACGTTTTTCGACAAAATGTTTTTTGCGCTAGGATGAGGTGGTATTTTGGCCGTGTCGAAATTGGTGTTTTTCGCAAAAC